ATAAATCACATGGTGAACGGTTAGAACTCGGTTCTGGAACCGGTTCGCGGTTCTGTGTTCGGTTCGGTTCAGAACCGCTCAGAACCGACTCCCTAGTGGAACCGCCCCATCCCTATGTGTAATGTTACACCCCCGCATTCCCCACACCGAATTTTCAACACTGCATGTGTATTTACAAAAATTACAGTGGCCAAAATTATTTACAGATTTATGGAATTTAATTATGGAAAACTTTTTTTTATTTTTATTATTATTTTTGGTTTTCTTGTTAGTATTTTCGGTGCCAACTATATGTACAATGGTAAAATTCCTTTTTTTTTAATCAGCCAATGACCAAAATAATCCATCTAGATTTATAACTGTCAAGAGTTGCAGACGTTTTCCCAACATCTATTATATAATATATATATTTATTATAAATGAATGAATATAAATATAAATTATTTATTATACAAGAAATGAGTTTTTTAAACATACAATCATATTACCTTCTTTATATTGTGTGCTATATATAAAAAAACCTTTTTAAAATATATTATAATGTAAGTGAGCATCTTACCTACAGTATATAAATAACGATTTAATAATAAGGCATATGTTTGGTTATTCAGTTATTTCTTGAATTACAATAATGTCTAGGACTTTTTTTTTCCTTAAAAAATAAAAGCACAATTCTGACATATACAGTATCAGTATATAGATCATGGAAAACTTAAACTTTCGCTCCTAATACCTACCAAAACCCACTTGATTGACTTGTTCAAATTTTACCAAAATGAAAAAAAAAATATATGTTTCATAAATTTGTCACAACAAAATTCCTTTTTATTGTGTAATGGCTTTAACCCTGTAACATATAATATTTGAACTCTGTTATTACTGGCTCATATGATCGTACTAGCATACGACAGGTGCCTATAGACATAATAAGGTAACCTCTTAATTTAGAGGATCCTTTTTCAACTATGATTCTTGAATATAGAATACCTGAATCGGTAAAACTTTTCACCATCCCTTTTGTAATCGTCTTGATATATCTGTCCAACTGTTGATACCCGTCATTCAAAATGTCATGCAACTGCTGCATCACAAATTTTTTTCCTCCTTTGACCAATACATATATTTACATTGCAACAAATGCTCTTCATTCTCATTCTCAAGATCTTTATCCAACAGGTTCATAATTTTTGTGTCTGGGTTCTTTATCCAGAATCCCTGTGCTCCACTTAACAGGCCAGTAATTGTAATATATTTGAGTTCTAATACAACATTTGATATCAATGGGCCATCCCCACTTTCAAAAACAAAAAGGTCCACAAAACCAAAGCATCTGTCACCACTTTTCTTCATTCCATCAACTATAAGATGAAGCTCCGTGACATGAAATGACATTGGAAGGAGAATTTCAAAAGTTACTTGCATCACAGCTTCGTTGGCAGTTCTTAATGACATCATAGGTCTATTTTTGAAGAAGTTTTTTGTGAGTTCTACCAGTGGATTTACAGAGCCACGTATAAGTTGATTGTATGCAGGAAGTCTGTGTTGAAAAAGATTTCTGTTGGAACTTATATAGTCCACAATTCGGGTTATAACCTAAATGAAATTAATATTATTTAGGATTTCCTTATTCGAAATATATTAAGAAAATAAAATGAAAACACATACTTCAGTCCTTGTTACTTGATTTGGGATTATCAATCTTCCAGCATAGTCACGTGTCAATATCCCAAAATAATACAAAAAAAGACCATGTGAGCTGTTGATGATATTCTATATCTTGTTCTCCAGTCCTGAGGAAATCAGAATAATTAAAATTATTTTGAAGTTTGGTAAAAACCATCCCATTTGTGAGGAGTTTGAAGAGATCGTCAATAGAGACTGGGCTCTGGTCAGCGATGCATGTGAGTATCTTTGTTGAATTTACAGCAGCTGACTTGGAAGGTTTAAAAACAAGGCTGCGACTTCGTCTTTCTCTCAAATAATGAAAAATTAGATGAATATTATATAGAAAGGGGGTTTGAGTATTGGATCTATACATGCAGCCCAAATTGGTTTGGTGATTTTGATGGTCAAAATTATTCCAATTTTGATGGTAGAAAGTAGAAATTAATTATGGCATTCACTATTAAAAACATAAGTGTAAAACCCCTTTACTACATGTGTAACCCCCTTTATGACAGTGTCAAAATACTTTGGGCTGTATGTATAATCACATCATCATTTTTTTCTACAACATCATTACGATCTAATATTTTTTTACGTTTTTTTTATACTCTTCTCCTTGCTGAAATCATTTATGGGCTCATTCTCTTGCGGAATTGATAATTTTGCCTCTACAAATAAAGGTATAATAATTATTGACATACTACAAACACATATTCTACCCAATATGTAAATTTCATACCTATAACTTTTTTTTTGTTTCATTATCAATTGCTTCCTGCAAAAGAGCTATTAATTCAACACAACTATCATCATTATCAACTTCTATACTGTATTTTGTCATTTCTTCTTTAATTTTATTAATAGACCACTGACTAAGATTTGAAGCTGTGATCATTTATATGTTGTTAGCAAAAATATCAATTATCTGTTCTTATATTCAGATTACTACTTACTATTACTGCTTGGCATTAGAATTATCCATTTAGAACTTGGGATGGTGTGATCAGATAATGTTGGAATAGGTTTTTCTTGTATTTTATTATCCATTGTTTTTTTTAATAATGGCTGGTGAAAAGTTTTTCCATTTTCCAAAATTTGGTAAAGAATGAGCACAAAGATATCCTGCATATTCACCTTCAACTGGCCACCAAAATTAAAGCTCCGAATGGTTTGGTTTAAACTGAAATTTTTGGTTTGGTTTTGGTTTGGTTTCAGTTTTTAAAAACCAATTCAAAAGTTTTCAGTTTGGTTTCAGTTTTTAAAAAACCAATTCAAAAATTATTGGTTCAGTTTTGGTTTAGTTTCGGTTTTTAAATTATTATTGAACACAAAAAAAAAAATTTTTTTTTCCAATAATAAATAAAATATATATTAATATACAGTATGTAATCAAAAAAAAAAAAAAATAATAATAATTAATAATTAATTCGTGTTCCACAGAATAAAGGAAAGAACTTAATTAGTGCCAATCAGGGCAAAAAATTTTATTTTCATATTAAGGGTAGAGGATATTCATATTACAAAATCGAATATGAAAATTGTCCATAAAAAAATCCCATGACATGTCTTTTATTATTTCTTTGTAAAATCTATAGAATGTATTGCTAAGAACTATAGTTTTAACTGTATGTAAAAAAACTAAAAGTTAGTATTAAAAAATAAAGACTTATATTATTAACGAAGTTCAAATTCCTGGCGAATTCCTAGTAAAGTTAGTGAATTCCTAAGTTAAAATTTGCAAATGACTGTTAAAGCTATTTTAACCACAAGTAACTTCCATAAACACATAAATATCTATGCTAAATGCAATAATATTTTATTTTAACTTATTTGAAATCATGAATGTCTTATTAAGTTGCGAATGACTATAGTCGCGAATGTCTAATATTAATAATGTTATGTCGAGCTTATACTAATTCTAGTTTTATTTTATAAATATGTTTATTTAGTGACAGTAGAAAACAATAGTAATAGTAAAAAAAAGGAAAGGTATTATTTATTATAAGCAAATAAATATTTAAGTTCTATATTTTTTTTGATTTTTGTTTATTTATTGTAGGATTCCACAGTGGATACAATACATGCAAACTAACAATTCTTCTTTAGAAAAATTTAAAAGAGCAAATGGTGGATACATGCTTCGTGATATATCAAAATCACACAAGATTCTTAGTATTCATGCTGAATTACAAATAAATGTGGAGGATCATTCTAAAAATCCATATTATCGTAATGTTACAAAAAGAGATATATCAACTGCTCCATTGGTTCCTTTACTTCCTGGACATTGTGTTATTGGAAAGTTTGGTGAGTTATATATTTTTATCTAGAAATTCAAAGTAATAATGAATACCTTACATATCATTGGAAAATTTATAATAATGTGGAGATGACACAAATTATACACGAAGGAACAAACCCAGATTTTTTTGTTAGCATGAAGAAATACATAAATTGGTCAGGGAAGATTTCTATTCCAGATATTCTTGGATTTGGTAACCCTGATATTATACATGATCTACAAGCCAAAGTCAATTCAATTTATCCAAATATTTTTGAAACTTCTGTTGCATTGACAAAACCTCAAAACAAAATGGTAAAGCTAACTGCCACTATGCAAAAAAAGGGTGAAAAAATAATTGCAAAGGCAAGAAATTCATCGTTAATTTCACAAGATCCAATAATTTGTCAAGGAATAGAAATTAAAGAAACAGGTCTAAACTTATCTTCAGAAGCAACTTTAGCTCTTGCAATTGATTATGAATCTTCAAAAAAATCAAGTGATGCATTACGTAAAAGATTCAAACGTGCTAAAGCCGACCTTGAATATGCAAAGAATTTAAAAATAAGGATTCATTGAAAGATTGGGTGCAAAAAACTATAGAAGAAAATAAATTTGGATCAACAATATTAGTTAACACTGAACAATATCTCACCAACATATTTATTCAACCTTGTTTAACATGCCATAACCTTGATCTGTCTAAAAAGAAGCTGAAAGTTAATAAAATTGGCTATAATCTTCAAATTACAATCAATTGTAAAATGTGTCAAGGAATTACTGAATATAATAATGAGTTACCTGGTACAAAATTTTCTTTACTTGCAGCAGGAGCAGGACTTGTTGGTGGTGTTAATAGGAGACAACTTCAAACCATTTTTTCTATGATGGGAGTAACAACACAGTCATCAAAAGGTCATTATTATGATAAACAAAATGAATATTTGAAAAGCATAAATAATGAAGCTGAAGTTAGTGCACAAATTGCTTTAACAAAAGCTATTGCATATATCAAAGCAAAAGGAGAAAGAATACTTCCTGCTAGTTTTGATTGTTCCTGGTCACATTGTCGAAATGCAAATCAAGCTAGTGGAGAGCTAATATTTCAGGGAAATTTAGAAGGTAATACAATATTATTAATTGGTTAGAATTGCTAATTAAAAGTCTTTTTTACAAATAGATTATGACCACAAACCTGTTATTGCCTTTTCTACTGCTGAAAAACCACATCAGTTGAAAAATAAAGATGGCAAAGAGTATGAAGTTTTTCATGGCAATCATGAGCAATCATCACGTCAGATGGAACATGCAATATTGTTACGAATTATTGAAAAAATATCACCAGTATTGGAAGAAGCTGAAGTACTCTTGGATATTTGTGTAGATGGTGACCTAAACTCAAATAAAACTTTAAATAATATTCCTTGTGTGAGTAAAGTATATGCAGATTTGAAACATGTTGGAAAGAATATAAGGGCAAAGATTGGTAAACTTTCTTAAATCACATACCTGTTTTTATAAACAGGTGGGACCGTTCTGGGAACACAAAAATTAACAGGAGGGAACACAAAATTTTAACCCATGCCATTCGTTG